ACCTATTGGCAACAATTCCAACTTTGACCAATTACAGGAAATTAATGTCCTGCTATTCTTCCTCACACATTTGAATGAATTTAGGCTGAAAGAAATAACCCCAAATTTGTCCCAGAGTGACTTAAGTGTTGAGTAGGGTTGAGTGGGAACTTGAACCTGAATCTCACAATATGCTCTAATTTCTTTTCCAAAACATTGTTTGTTGCTTGATTTTTCAAAATGGCCTAATCATGTTGAGACTCTAGAAAGAGTACAGAGAAGAGCAACAAAGATGATTAGGGGACTGTAGGCTAAAGCATATAAGGAATGGCTGCTGGAATTGGGTATGTCTAGTTTAATGAAGAGAAGGACGAGGGGGGACATGATAGCAGTGTTCCAATATCTCAGGGGCTGCCACAAAGAAGAGGGAGTCAAGCTATTTTCCAAAGCGCCTGAAAGCAGGACAAGAAGCAACGGGTGGAAACTAACCAAAGAGAGAAGCAACCTAGAATTAAGGAGAAACTTCCTGACAGTTAGAACAATTAACCAGTGGAACAACCTGCCTCCAGAAGCAGTGAATGCTCCAACACTGGAAGTTTTTAAGAAGAGACTGGACAGCCATTTGTCCGAAATGGTATAGGGTTTCCTGCCTGAGCAGAGGGTTGGACTAGATGACCTCCAGGGTCCCTTCCACTTTACTACTACTACTACTACTACTACTACTACTACTACTACTACTACTACTACTACTTATTATTATTATTATTATTATTATTATTATTATTATTATTATTATTATTATTATTATTATTTGGATACAAAATAAACTGTTTTCCCAGTTTATGAGTTCATTGAGCAGGAGTAAAGAGAACCCTATCATTTGTTCTCTGGAGGATAACAGGAAGCTGTCAATGAGTTGTTCTCTGTATACTCTTCCTCTTTGGGCTGCCTTGGGTATGTGAAGCAGCAATCAGATACAAAAAAGCAAAGTATTATTGTCTCGTGCAGGTTGGTCTAGATGATCTTAGGACTGCGAAGTAGCAAGCAACTCTCCCAAAGCAGGGGAAAGCATTTGTTTATGGAAACCCCACCCATTCTTCAGTCTCTAAGTGCAGTTAACCTGCATGTGTTGGGGCTCATGTGCACTCCCTTGTACACAAAAGCAAGAAATTCTGCTTTTTCAAAAAAGAACTTGTTGCAGTATTTAAAAAAAATATCAAGAACAAAGAGTGTTGTACATTGTGGCTGAAATCAACAGAGCTACAATTTGAGTTAGATTGAAATGCCACAATAGCAGAAGTTAAAAACTATCTCGGTGGATTTATCCCAGGGACTATAAACTCTGCATTCAGAAAGGAAAGGGAGGTGGGAGCAGAGAAGAACAAGAGGAAAAGAGTTGGTTGCATTTATCCTGGATGGGCAAGGCAAGAGGAGAAAAAGAAGGAACCAATGCAGATAAAACTAGTGGGCACTGTGTGCCTTAACAAACAAACCACAAACAAACACCTCCCTGCCACTGCCTCACTATTATGACATTTTAGCCCAAGAGTATAAATCAGAAATTAGAAAGTTCTAACGTTTTTCTACATACCCCTTTTGTATAATGTTATATAATAAATAAGTAAAGAAAAATATTGGGGAAACTTGGATTTTTAAAGTAATATGTATTGTATTCAGTGGTGGGATTCAGCCAGTTTGCACCACTTCGCCAGAACCGGTGGTTAATTTTTTGTTGCCCAGGCCCAGAACGGACTTCTGGAAGCGGCATCCACACAGAGAACCGGTTGTTCACATATTTGAATCCCACCACTGGCTGCATTACATTATATACCTTCTTCATGGAAGTTAACATGTTCTGAACAAAGGTCATTCATGCTTTAGGAATAGCAAAAGGAATAATTCTTAGGAGATGGAAAAAATAGTATAGCTGCAGATATAAAGGATTTGATTTTAGAGATGTGTGACCTAGCAATTTTTGAGAAATATTTATTTTCTGTCAATCAGAAAATGTCACATTATCTTGAATCTTGAAAGCTGTTTCATCTTTTGAAGATTTATAAATCAGGTGCACTTGGGATATATTTTAATTATAAGTATTATTTTCTTTTGATAAGTTTTATTAGTGTTATTGTATTGGGTTTTGTCCTTTTTTTTAAAATAGGGTGTTGTTCAGTTTTATTTTCATATATTTGGTTGAAAATGAATTGTCTTATATATAAAATAACTAATTAAATACAATTTTAAAAAAGAAATTATAAAAAAAGAAATTATAAACTAAGAAAGAACAGTTGGATTAAAAAAAATAAGTTTTTAAGGAAAGTGATAGATTTGGAGTTGGTTAAAGGAAGGAAATTCCTTTACAAAATGAGACAGAAATTTAATCCACATCAAAGTTGATGATACATATGTAGCTTCCAGGAAGTGAATATGGTTGTACACAATGGAAGTTCTATTTGAAGAAATTTATGGATGATCTGGCTACAAGATGGCCAGTTGCAACCGAATAATACCTGTTTCATTTTACTTTTAATCTACATTATTGGAAGGTTATAAAAAAGTAATATTTGAAATATGGCATGGAACCACTGGCTGCTGCTTCCAGTTCTCCATGCCAGAGCACTTTTTCAGCTGTAGAAGGGCTCTAGTGTGAAATCCAGTACAGTAGAGAAATAAAAAGACATAAAGATTTTTATTTTCAGCCTCATGGTGAGATGGGGTAGTTAGATGGGGATTCTGAATGCAAATACATATGTAGTGGGTATAGTTGAATTTCAGCTTCATTAAGAATGGGAAAAAACAGCCAGGATAAATCAGTAGCAACATTTAATCTTTTATAACACCTTTTTCAACCATTACAGTTAGCTTACAGCAATTTTAATTCAAAGATCCCAGCAGATTGATTCCCTATTACAATCCCATCTCCCCTTGACTTGGGATGACATCCAGCTCTATTTTGAAATAATTGGAAACTTTCCAACACCTTCAACATAGTAAAAAGAAATATAGCAAATTATCAAACATTTTTCTTTTTCAAGGCTTTCATTATTTTCAGAATAGACCATAGTAATAGTGCTTTTCACTAGATTTAAGAAATTTTCTTTAATAACTTGAATAACAACACACTAGACATAATGAGAACCTGTTCCATGTTCCATTTGAAGACTAACTCTATGGCTATACCTATATCTTTTTAGCTAAACTCAGAAAGCCCTAGCTTTTTTCTTTAATTAGGTTTTTTATTATTATTATTTCAGTAAAAAGCATTGTAAATGGAGAATAATTTAAGACAGACAGTGGGAGTCAAATGAAGCATTAGAAACTCTTTCCCTTCTGTTTCTTTGCTTCAATTCACCCTATCTGAAACAATTTTCCCCATGAAAAGGAACGTACCCATTGCTGGCTCAGTTTGTAGTCTAACCAGCTTGCATTGAAATCTTGCAGACTCTAAGTTCTGGTACTGGTTGCTAGGCTAAGAAAAGATTTGTTTTTTTCAGGATGAATATATTTCTTTGGGGAATCACCTTAGACTTGCAATAACAGGTTAGTTCTCATGTGACAGTCTTTAGAATTACATCATAACCAGTGGTGGGATTCAAATATGTGAACAACTGGTTCTCTGTGTGGATGCCGCTTCCGGAAGTCCGTTCTGGGCCTGGGCAACAAAAAAATAGCTACCGGTTCTGCCGAAGTGGTGCGAACTGGCTGAATCCCACCACTGATCACAACCCAGTTTAATTTTAAGAAACCTCTTCCTCTAATGACCTCATAGGGAGATTTCATTAGACCTTAACAATTTTATTGGATGGCTAATTCAGAGATTGTCCCATCACAGTGCCTTTTCAGCATCATTCTTATGGTTGGTCCTGAGAGCAATAAAATAAAACAATATATTACAGTCACTGTTGGCGATGGTTCATTGGCATCTTTCTTTAATGTTTGGACAGATATCAAAGTCCTCATTTTCTCGAGTTTTCAGTTTATATAATAGCATACTGAATTATTGGTGCATTAATATGGCCTTCCTAACCAGACTGTAACTATGATATGGCTGTTTGTTTACTTTTTCTTCCAAGAGTGTTATGGGGAAAGGATTATATACATTCCACTGACCTTTGTTTTAGACTTAGAGGATATTCCTCTGAATCACCAAATTGAGTTCTAAATCTGGGGAACTATACATGTAGTCCTTGAGTTACAATGATTCATTTAATGACCATTCAAAGTTACAACAGCAGTGAAAAAAGTCACTTATGAATGTTTTTCACACTTATGACTCTTGCAGCATCCCCACTGGTTATATAATCAAAATTTGGCAACTGGCATACCTTTACGATGGTTGCGCTATCCCGAGATCACATGCTCACCATTTGTAACCTTTCCGTCCAGTTTCCAACAATCAAAATCAATGGGGGAGGGAGGGGAAAGCCAGATTCACTTAAGAACCATGTGATTCACTCAACAACTGTGGTGTTTTTGCTTAGGAACTGTGGTAAAAGAAGGTCATAAAATGAAGTGCAACTCACTTAAGAACTGCCTCACTTAGCAATGGGAATTTTGGTCTTCGTTGTGATCATAGGACGACCTGTACAAAGCTTTGAAGGTTCCTTCTGAGAAGATTTTTTTCGAAATAGAATTTCTTCTGAGAACAAATGTGTACAATGTGCAAAAGTTCACACATAGTTTGAAGATGATTTTATGGATTTAAGCTTAACTGATTAAATATTGATGTGGATGAACTACAAACATCTATAGTTGCATCAAACTGTTGGTCTCTCCAGTTCTGTATGATATACATGCAGTAGCTTAGTAACAGCTCTCTGCAGGGTTTTACAAGTCTTTCATAAGTCTAGATGGACAGCTCGGAGATTGTACATGTAAAGCATCTAATACAAAGTTATCACCTCCTTTTAGTATCTTTAATAAAAATAAATGTGTTTTCTGCTGGAACAAGAGAATATGTTGCTTGAATTTAAAGAAAGTTAATGATAGGCATTCACTGTCCCAATTTCCTGCTTCATCAGAGCGTGTAACTGCAGTGAAGACTGACATCTTTGTTACCAGCTTTGGTCCTGTTTCAGATCATGATATGGTAAGTAATGCTCTACTGCCTTCTAGTATGTTAAGAATTGTTTAGCCTTCAAGAATGTGGAATGTGTGGAATTCTGAATGTATCTATCACTGCTCATGTCTGAAAATCTTTCCATATCTCCAGCAGTTTTTGCAGCCTTGCAATTGACAGTTTCTGAGTATATTGAGGCATTCAACTTGAATGCCATCCTCAGTTTAATGATTCAATTCATTTGAAACATTTATAATATTTGGTTCATTCCATGGCCTAGGAGCAGCAAATGGAAGGGAAACACCTCACATGAGAATGGGCCATTTGAAGCCTAAATCAGCTTAGGGAAATAAAGAGCGGAATAAATACTGTTTTCTTATGATTGTTCAGGCCACTAGTCAAAATAGTAATAAAATAATTCTGCATTGCCTCATCTTGCCTACGTTATTTAAAAGATTGGTCTTCCACTTAAATCTCTTGATTCTAAATAATTCTTTTTCTTATTTTTCTCCCTGTAAACATTTTGTAATTTTGAGGTCAGTTTTGACTGTTCAGGTCCTTAAAAGCTTGGCAATAAATTGTGATGCATAAAAGCTCCAGCTTAGGACTGATTCTCAGGAATTTCATTATGTATTATCTGCTGGAACAAAGCCACAAGGAAGCACATTTGAGTCCAAAGAAATTCTCCTACATTCTGGCTACTGACGAACAAACATTATTATATAAGATTTATTAGTAGTAAAATAAATGAAAGATTTAAGAGAAGCCGATAAAGTTGGCAACAGTATTTCTTTATAACCTGGATTTATTATATACACACATAAACACACACACACATACATTCTAAAACAGTGTTTTTTAACTGGCTGGGGAATTCTGGGAGTTGAAATTCATACATTTTTGAAGTTGCTGAGGCTGAGAAACACTTTACTCAAACAATTAATAGAAAAAAAAACACCATTTCCCTACCAAAACTGGTAGGGCAAGCTACTGGATATAAATGGAGCCAACCCCATACTCACTAGCAGTGAGGATGTTATGTAGTTAGGTAATGAAACATCTGCAAACAAACAATCAAGCTCAGAGCTACGAATAATATATTTTTTTCTATGGCCCTATTTCCCAAAACTATAGCAGCTCTCCAATTTAAACTGGCATGTCTGTTGTAACTGTACATTTCCTCAGTAATAAAATGTCTTATTTTTCATTGATGAAATTTTCTGTCCACTATGACAACATAGCCATTATCTTACATACATCTTTCTGTGAATTTATTATGTTCCATTAATCTTGGTTTAACTTCAAGGCTAAAGGATTATTACAGGCAGATAGAGCATCCATATCCTTTAGATTAATTTCATATATCTGTATCTGTATCTGTATCTGTATCTATCTGTATCTGTATCTCTCTATCTGTATCTGTATCTCCATCTCCATCTCCATATCTATTTCTATATCTATATCATGATCATTCTAGCCATTGTCTATCCCAATGGTGGTGAACCTATGGCAAGGGTGCCAGAGGCGGCACTCAGAGCCCTCTCTGTGGGCATGCACGCCATCGCCCCAGTCCTAGGCCTTCAGCTAGGTTTTATAAAACCTTTTCGCTTTAGGCCTCCGCCGCCATGTACAAAAAAAAAGGTTCAATCAATCAGTCAATTTCAACCTCGCGGGGAAAAAAAAGATCTTGCAAAGTTGGAATTGATTGATTGAACTTTTTAGTCCCACCCAGTCTGCTGTTACCAATGCCACCACACCCACCCAATGGGCCACACCTACCTGGCACCCGCCCATGCATAAGTGGGTTTTGGGTTGCAGTTTGGGCACTTGATCTCTAAAAGGTTCGCCATCACTGGTCTATCCACTGCAAGATGCAGGCCTCTTCCCCATGTTTCCAACCAATACAGTCTTGTTTATATCTATATAATTATATCTATATCTATATCTATCTATCTATCTATATCTATCTATCTATCTATCTATCTATTTATCTATCTATCTATCTATCTATCTATCTATCTATCTATCTATCTATCTATCTATCTATCTATCTATCTATCTATCTATCTATCTATCTATCTATCTATGAACAATATTAATAGCCATATTCAGGTCCATATATCAGGTCCAATCGGCAAAAAAAGCTTAGGACTTTTAGTTGGAAACATGCGGAAGAGGCCTTCATCCTGCAGTGGATAGACAATGGCTAAAATGACGGTAATGTGATATCTATCTCTATCTCTATATAATCTCTCTCTATTTCTAAATAATCTTATATATGTATATAACTTTATTAACCTAAGGATCTAAAGTATCTGTATGGTCTATGTGTCTGTAACAATCCTAAGCAATGGAGTTAAACCCAAGAAAATTCTCAGCAAATAAAGGAACATAACACACACACAAACACACTTACCCATAACTAACCTCATGAGGAGTATTACAAAATATATAATGTAATGAAGGCTCCAACTTTCTTACACAGCCTGATTTAAGAAGGACTCAAAGGAACAAGAAAAAGATAAGCTTTCTCAGTAACAATATTGTTTTTCTCCTACTTTGTGGTTATGCCATAAAGTTTAAAGCAGTCTGTAAAAACAATAAGCTGAGATTTATGGTGTAAAGACAGGGTTTTACAGGAGAAATGGGAATTTTCAAGAGAATATTTGGCTTCACACATACTGTAGCTAGAAATATGTTTGTCCCTTCTTTCTTGAGAAATATCATTTTCAGAAAACTAGCTCTCAAATCTTTTGAACTAAAAGTCAAACACCTCATCTACGGCAGAACATTCTGGAACTCATTAATAGCCATTGTAAAATTATATACTGTTGCACAGCAAAAAAATACCTTCAGAAAAAGGGCCTGGGAACTTTCAGGTGAATTTGTAATGTGAATTTCAGCAAGCAGAGACATAGAAATCCTTCCTTGGCTGCCCATCTAATACCTTATTTGTACTCCTGGTTTTAAGACCCTATTATAATGTAGCTATAAGGTTAGTCTATGCATGCTGCTCCCAATCAGCAGCAAGGTACTTCGATGCAGATGCTTTTAGTCTAAACTGCAGTACAGTCAGTGAACTCTGCCGACAGATATGTGATTAAATTACTTTCTGAATCAAATGGCTTGAGGAGAAAAGTGGGTATCACCCAAGCCTTAGCAGCAAATGGAGTGCTGCCGTTTACGTAAATGGCTACACGAACCATATTTTACAGTTCACATGACATAAGCAGCCCAGTCATCTTCTTCTCAAATCAATTTGCATAGACATTCCAAACTGCATAGATATATGCTCTCAGAAAGAGGAGGAAAGAATTAGCTATTTGTCATATAGGAGTAGGCAATAGACCTGCATAGCTTTCAGTAAGGTATCTTCACAGCTTGATTGGGAACCTTGGAAACTGTAAGAAGATTTTTCATCTTCATATATAGTGAGTTAATTAACAATTAACATGGATTATTTGAAATGCTTCTACCCTTTTTTTTCCACCTGGCCTAAGTTGTGTTTATACAAAAAGCTGTCAACCAGTTTGCCTGCTATCTCATGATTGTCTATGTCTGCTTTCTCTTTCATTTCCCCCCCCCCCCAACCTCCTCATAGTCTCTCTTGCTGTTGACAATTGGTAAGGTCTTCACTTATTTCAGGAATTATCAAACTTTGTGGTGAACTGACTCCACAAATGAAGGCAAATGAACTGACTCCCTACAGTGATAAAATAACTTTCCCTATTACTTAGGGAAAGTTATCTTATCATTCACTGTCTTAGAAATAAGCAAGAAATAGCCAGATAAAGCTTGCTATTTATTTGTAATAATTAAATTCTAATTTATATATCAACGAACTGCCCCCAGAGATCAGGGTGATCCCTGATCTCCCTTCCTTCCGCTGCGCCCTCAAGACGTGGTTGTTCCAGCTCGCGGGACTGGCCTAAGGGATTTTAAAGGGGTTTTAATTACTTTTAATTTGGACGCATTTAAATATTTCTTTTTAATTGATTTTTAATTAGATGTATAACATGTTAGCGTTTTATCTATTGTCAGCTGCCCTGAGTCCGCAAGGAGAAGGGCGGGATATAAATGTAATTAAATAAATAAATAAATAAATTAAATAAATAAAACAATGATTGAACTATAAAAAATTGACAAAATCAAGCCTTTTAATTGGAAAATGAAAAATAAATTTCAAGTTTAAAATTATATTAAATAAGATGAGCTGGCTTAGTTTTGCATTAGTCTTGGAAAGTGAGTTTTAGTTTGGAGACAGCATTTCTTATTCATTTAGAATTTCTGCTGGTTCTTTATAGTGGCAATTTCAGAAAATCCTGAATTTACTACCAGCTGTCTGAGCACTACAGGGACAAGTACAGCCGGTGATCCAGCTTTGCATATGTAAACCATCGGGCTTTTACCTTTATTTGGCTTGGACAAGCTGGCTGCTGGCTTATCAAGATACACTGTGGAAGCTCAGCCAGAATTTGTTCCAGACCTCTGCAAAGGTGGAAACTATAAAATTGTGTTTTCTCTGTGTCTTTCCTCTTTCTTCTAATTGAAGAAAACTCTTCTAACTCTTCCAGATTTCTTCTTTCTCCTAAATGAAGAAGCCCTGTTCAAACTTGAATCTTTCTCAAATTTGCTTGTGATTCCCTGGGGTTGTGACCGAGAGCTTGAGAATTCTGTCTTAAAATAGGTTTGACTTTTGCAAGCGGTTGAAATAATAAAAAATATAATTTTATTGTAAAGTACAAGACATAATTGTGCTAACCAAAATTTGTTGGATGTTTTAGGAATCTTTTTTTTTTCAGAAGAAAGGGCTACCCTCATTCCTACTTCTGTTCATCTGTTTTATGACTTTGACAAATGACAAAACACAGATGTCCAGTATGAACCTGTTAAAGCTCAGTATTGTTCGGAAAGCCTTGTGCTCTTCAATGATGCTATTCATAAATGAAGTATTTTCAAAGCTCATGATTCTCTAATTTTAGGAATATACAATAGATGTATTTTTCCGACAAAGCTGGAGAGATGAAAGGCTGAAGTTCAAAGGACCAATGCAAGTACTTCGACTGAATAATTTAATGGCTAGCAAAATATGGACACCAGATACATTTTTCCACAATGGAAAGAAATCAGTAGCTCACAACATGACTATGCCTAACAAACTTTTGCGAATTACAGAAGATGGGACACTGCTTTACACAATGAGGTAGGAGGCAGGGGTGTGGTATTTTATTTATGAAAAAAACCCTACATACTTTTCAGGATAGGTGGGGTTTTTTTTTTGTTTTTTTGTTTATAAATGTTCTTTTGATTTAATGAAAGTTATAGATTTTTCCAAGATTTGCATTGGATAGTAAAATATGTACATCTTTAAAGGAATCAATGGAATGCAGCTGTTTTCAGTAATTTTTCTTCTAATTTGTATCATCTTTTCATTTTCTCCCTGAGCTTAATACATTCATTGGGATAGCAACAACACCATATTTTATTTTAACAAATTTGGAGATTAGACTGCTGTTACAATTCAATCTTATGGAGTGGTAGTTTGTGTAATGTAAGCAATTATGCATTATCAACCTATTATTTGCAGTTGAAAGGTGGGACTTTTCACCATACTGATTTCAAGGGGGGAAATGATATATTTTGTGCTCCTTTTATAATCAAGCATTGGATGGAACAAGAATAGGAGACATTTCTGGTCTTCTTGGCCAATATAAAACAAGGTACCTACTGTGGAATAGAAAAAAGGAATATCTTGTGTTGTGTATCTGTGAGACTCAGAAATTAGATGAAGTTTGGTTTAAGAAGGTTAACATAATGGCTCTATAAAAATATATTCTCTATGCTCAAATGGTGAAAATTTGGGACACATAAAATAACTCTTGCATAAATCTCTTGCATATTATGCATCACAGAGAAACACTTTTGAATTACACATTGCAATTATCTGTTTCATAAATAGGAGAGGATGGGGATACTGGAATAAGTATCTGATATTTAGGGCAAAAAGTAACATAAACTTTGAGGTTTCTTTTAATGAATTCTTGTCTAGAACAACAACAACAAAAAAACCCCTGGGCTTTTAAACCAACTGAACCAAATTCTCTGGTTAATCTTGCTGCACCTAATTATTTCATACAATTTCTTAACCAAATGCAGTAAAATAGGTACCTTCTATTACTATTTTCATCAAAGCCACTTTATATTCTAAATCTGTTCTAATGCTTTTGGCCTGTTTGCAGACTTACAGTGAGAGCAGAATGCCCAATGCATTTAGAAGACTTTCCCATGGACGCACACGCTTGCCCATTGAAATTTGGAAGCTGTAAGTTGACTTTGATAATTATTTTCCAGCTTCTCCCTTCGGTGGGCCATTACAGCTATGATATTTTCCAGCTATTGCAATTTTTTTAGATAAAGAAGTTCTAAATGGGTAAACATTATACAATATTTAACATGGACATGTTGTAGAGTACACATACAAATCCCTCAGTTCTGCTTAACCGTAGCTACATCTTATTACAGAAAGCATATCTTTAGTGACTTTATTAATGCATACAGAAAATATAGGATTTACCTCCAAGATTGATTGACTGTCAATCTGTACGCTATCTCAATTGTTTTCTGTCATTCTGAACCGCACACAGGAAATAGGGATAAACTATTTTACATAGCAACAATGTGGGGGGGGGGGGAAGCATTTGTCCAGATTGACCAGGGATATTAAAGAAACTTTGGAAATGATTTTTTTTAACCAACTAGATGCTTACACAAAATCTGAGGTGATTTATGAATGGACCCGTGAACCTGCACACTCTGTTGAAGTTGCTGAAGATGGCTCTCGACTGAATCAATATGATCTCATGGGACAAACAGTGGATTCCGGAATTGTGCAATCCAGCACAGGTGGGTAAAATCCCAGTGCTGCTACATGTCTATTGCTTGTACCACAGCAGTTTATCTCAAAAATACTATGTCTTAGATGAGAATGGCATTCTTTTAAAGGCCCATCTTTTCTTTCACTTTTTTAAAAAAGCAAACAATTCCTAATTTGCTCTTTAAATATCTGCATTCTAAAATATATGTCTGTCACACTGAACGTATTTTATTTAAATGTATCTTAGCTTTGCAGTGCCCCTGAAAAACAAAACAAAACAAACAATTGGCAGTACTCAAATAGTGTTCACCCCAGGTTTGGATCTCATTAAACCCAGCAAACAAACAGGAGTTCATCACATCATTACATCTTGCTCAGCTTGATATCCTCTATGAACAGTAAAGCTCAACACATGTTGCTTATAGCTACACAGACCCTGGATTTTTCAAGGCAATCAATCAGTTTATTATTTTCTCGTAACTCAAAAAAGGAAGAGTCTGAAAAGAACGACACAGTGGGACTGGGGTAATAGGCAAGATGTTGCTCAGACTGAATATTCAGCAATTCAAACTTAACCAATGGCAGCTCCTTCCAAAAAACCATAAGCTTCTCAAGGAGGTAGATGTCTTAATCCTTTGAAGGTACAAAAATATATGCAGGCTTTTGAGATATTGGCATAGTATGGACATGGACATGGACCTTGACACATGGTAATGTCTGGAATATAGATCTATATGAATAGGTAACAAACTGATTCTCTGAAGCCTCTTTAGTAATAACATAAATTTTAAAAATGTTATATTCTATAACACTTTTTTTGTTTCTATTCTAGAAAGGAACATTATTCTATTTTACTATAATAAAACTGTATAGCCACTATAGTAAGTCCATACCCTCCCTACGTGTACATAACATTTTCTTCCATCAGTCATAAATGAAGAGGCAACCAAAGATTTCACAGTTACATAGACCTGCAATCTACGTCTTTAAAAAATGAACAAAAAAATTCCTGCAAAGAAACAGAAATTAAAAACTAGTTTGCAGAATCACCCCCCCCCCCCAAAGATAATCTTAATAGAAAGATCCTTGGTAGCATTCCAGCCCTATTCACAGCATTTTATACATATTGTCAGATATGAGGCAGCTCAGGCAGGGGGGAAAATTGCAAAGGTATCAAAACAAAATTAACATCTTAGCCTGAAAGACATTAATCACGGTTATTTATGGTTAATGACAAGTTCTGCATTAAGTTGGCACTGATCAGTAACACAAAACATTCAGTGAAACCACTAGAAGCACTGTTATCAGAAAAGGAACAATTTCAATAATTAAATTTAAAACATGGTTATGGTGTTGAATTGTGGTAGTGATAGTAGTGGTAATAATAGTAAAAAATAAAGGAAAAATACAGTAAAAATAAAACAGGAAAGAAAATTGATTAAAAGGAAAACTATGTCTATAGACTACTGATACATAATTGAAATTTAAATAGTGCAGTGGATTTCAGAAAATCTAAGATTCTGAATTGATACCTTAGCTCTAGTTTAGTTGGTTTGCAGAATACAGCAGTCTAAAAGGCTTCCAATATTTTATAGATATTATGGTTACAATTAAATGATTTTGTGAATGGAATGCAAACAAAAAAATACAATAGTTTGTGTACTGTAATTGTATTATTCATGGTTCTCTCATATATTGTTGAACTGAAGCAATTTGTAGAACTAACCTCACAAATTTATTGAAAATTACTTAAATACTTAGGTAGTTGATGTTTTATAAAGTCAGCTAACAAGTTTTATATAGTGAAAACAAAATTGTAAGAAGGACAGTATGGATCAAATTTCTCAGAAAGTTTACAAAATGAAAACTGGAACACTTCAACCGGATTTGCAGTGAAAGCTGGACAAAATACTATCCATCAAATGTCACTGAAATGAATGAAAACTGAGCAGGAATATATTTATTTAGATGGACATTTTCCCATTTTGCTGGTAAGACTTCTTTTGTGATGCAACATTGGCAGTACAGTTTATTGAAATTGTGATAAAATGGCCATGTTGCACTTTCTGTATTGGATGGATTTAGAAGTAATGGTTCCTAAAGCAGGATATAAGAACCTGCTTGTAGTTTGCTTACCTGAAGACCTAGCAGTCTTTATTTCAGAAATGCTCTTACCTAACACTGTGTCCATGAGTTGACAAAAATGTATGGATGGGGAATTGGAATGAGGTTAGGATTGTGACAATGATTATAGTATGGCACTAGCTGGGTAACAAAATGTCCACAAACAAATAATCAAGTTCAGAGAGTACCATGAATTCCTCTTTAGGATTATAAGCAAATGTTAGCAAACAGATTCTATTAGGCTAACTTTCTAAGCCAGCAAATATTTAACAAAACTTAAAGTTCCATCAGTATATTTGCATTAGTCCAACACTGAAATAGTTAAGATTTTGAACTAGGCTGAGGGAGATCCATATCCAGGTTTTTTCTCAACACAGATGACTTTGGGCAATGTATTACATCTCAACCTAGCCTACTTCACAAGACTGTGGCTGTGGGCATAAAAAGAGAGGAGACCATCGTATTCATTGCAAAGTTCACAAAGAAGGATGGGCTAAACCATCACCATCATCATTGCCAGCATCAAAAGAAGGGTGGTGATAACATTCTTCATCTTCAACCAAGACTTGAATAGAAGTGGCTTGAAATTAGATTTTTCAAATCCCCAGGACTGTTTCATATGTCAGTTCTAATTTTGGAAGAACACTTTTATTTGATTTCAAGCCTTCTTGCTTCTCCTTTTCAGCTAACATTTGTTTTGTTTCTATTTTGTCAGTGCTAAATGTAATGCCATATTATTAGTACCCTAAGGAATTTGATTTTTTCAAGATATTAAATTTTAAACTAATAGTCATAGAAGATAAAAGTAAAAATGAGAAACTTGTTTAATTTCTTGAAAACACTCATTTCATAAAAGCCATTATATAGTGAACAGCTACCACCAATGTTTAACTGAACACTTTTTCTTGATTTATAAAACAAACAAACAAAAACAAGAAATCTAAAAGCGGCACAGTGAGCAGAAAGAGAATGGGATCAAAAGTAGCTGTAGATAAATTGCATCTCATTAAATGAAGCCAGCCCATTCATCCTTACTGCAGATTGTTCTATGCCAAGCTCTGTAAGCATGCAATTATGAAACTAATGCATTAGATACTCTGATCATCATTAGAGCTGCACAAAACCATTCAAACAGGAGCTCTGCAAAGACAGTAAAACCATTTTTACTTTAAAATCATTGCTTGAAGCATCAGAGTCATAGTCTGTTATAGGCCATCCCAGCTACTTTATGGCCTTTTCTTGACCAAAACAAAAGGATGTCAATTGGACTGATATCCAAGAAATGCAACATCAACATGCATGGCCAGGAATGATGCTTCCGCACTTCAAGCAGCCAGCTCAGATGATGGCTTAGTACAATCATTTTGTATAAGCTTAGTGATCATAACACCATGATCTTAATTTTTGCATTCCTTCTGGATAGTCCAAAAAGAGTCTTATTTTTATGTTATAGGTCATCATATCACAAGTATACTTTCAGGCCTACATATAACAACAGGAACTTTGATTGAATTTCCAGGTACCTCCAACAATAGTTACTAGATTGACATTTTAAGTGAAAGGAGAATGATCATATGAACAGTATAATTCTTTAATTAGCTGTAAATGATGTGTGAATCCAAATGTTTGATTTCACCCACACAATTTCATAGTGTAGTTCTCAACATGTCACTCGAGGGCCAAGTATTCCTTTAATTCACAAGAGGCTCATCATCCCTGCTGCTACAAGGAAGATGACCTGTGTTCATTCTGATGACTAGAAAGTTGACAAGGAATCCATGATACAGACTGAAAAAAAGAATAGATGATTGGGGAAGTATTCCTTACCTCTAAATTTTATAATGGGCAAATGCAGTGAGTAGCAAACTGTACTACTGAGGTCAAATAAATCACATGCAGAAGAAAGGAGAGAAAACCCTGGGTCAAAATCCATTGAACTGAGGGAAAATATTTGTTCAGCTATCATTATTATTATTATTATTATTATTATTATTATTATTATTATTATTATTTATTAAATTTATTTGCCACTCATCTTGCCACAGGTGACTATGTTATGTGTGCAACTAAAGATATTTTAGAATCAAAGGTAAGGAGTTGTGTGAGTGCCAAGAAGAGGGGCTCTTACTTTTTTTTTTTTGTAAAATACTAACTGCTTCCTTCTAAAATACAAAACTAGAATATGGAACCATTCTTGTTGTTCTAGATTAGTGCTTTTGGAAATAATAATTTAAAGCCACAAAGGTACACTGTATTTCTGATGGAAGACTTCCAAGAAATTCTCCCTCACCTTTCCCTTATTTATATCCTAAGAAATTTCCTTGGCTTTTTTTCCCTCTTATCCAGGGGAATACGTTGTGATGACTACCCATTTTCACCTGAAGAGAAAAATTGGGTATTTTGTCATTCAAACATACCTGCCATGCATAATGACAGTAATTCTATCCCAGGTATCTTTCTGGCTTAACAGAGAATCAGTTCCAGCAAGAACTGTGTTTGGTGAGTGTCTTACATTATGCAAATATGCTTGAATTGTTCAAAAGCATTAATATATGTAGCATTAATACTCTTTGATTAAATTATCACACTTGAGGTGTCCATGGCAGCAGTATTTTGTCTCAGTGAGGCATTCTGTATCATATCCATCAACTGCGAACCTAGTGTCAGGTGGAGATCAGGTAGAATACACAAAGTGTGAACCCGTGCTTTCTGGAGAAACCCATTGACATTTCACATAGGCTTTATTTCAATCCCAAAGTTTAACTTTCTTATTACCAAAATTGCTTCTATGCCTATCTGGATTTAATTTTGGCTTGCCTGAATGATTCTTGGTAAAATCTGTGTGACAACTTCATTAGCAGTAAGATTCACAAAAGGCAATTAAACCAATCTATGGCCAGCTTTAGTCTATGAATTGCCAAATTCATACTCAATGAGTACCTAATTATAGAGATAGTTCATTTACATTTGAGATAAGTCCTGGCCGCCAAACTTGAGTGTGACATGATCCTACCTATTGTTTGCATTATTATCTTATCTACCACAACCCTTGGTTTCCTAAAAGTGTTACATTAAGACTTTGGGTGTCAAAATTCACACCTCACTAATTTGGACAGAGTTCATTCAATTCTTCTCTTCCTCAGCTCTCTGTTTTGTGGCATTTGATTCATTGGCCTTTCTATTTGAACTGTCTTCCATTTTGGAATTGAGGTGGAGCTGAATTTTTTCCCTTTAAGTTACTCAATAAGAATGCTTCAAATATTTTATGTAAGCACATGAAACTAGAGAAATAGAAAATAGAGTTTGATTAAATAGCTTATAATCGTGAGAGTGATTGGACACCACAATTGTATAACTAAATTAAAATAATTTAAAATCCTTCCTCTGAGTAGAGTCTTAAATTTGGGGGTAATGGTGGTAGGGATCTTTATGTAGTCTGAGCCATTTCAGAACAGAACTGATGGAAAATGGAAAAAATCAGATTATTTTCTATAAATAATGCATTTGAATATGGGTAGTGCAAGATATTTTTGATTGTTGTAGGTTTTGGCTAACAATTGACACAGTGAAAATATACTCTAGCAGATATTTAATACATGAGATGTCTGCAGTTGTCAAGGTAACTGGTGGTTAGTGATTTAAGGCAACGGTAGAAAGATGCAGACTTTTTACTCTTGGTAAAAGCTCAGTGGCTAGTTAAAAGAAAACTGTTCAACAGCAGATGATGAACAGTGCTATAGAACATGCAAAATATATTGTCACAGTGGCATCTTTCCTCATTTCTAACTCAATCAACATTAATAGCTAGCTTTTGAATCTGAGGTGAATAGTGGCAAAAGCCAGCTGGAGAATTCAAGATAGGTTTCAGAAATGAGCTAGTGAACAGAAAGTGCCTTCCATTTCTCTTTAAGATTATTATGCCAGAGCAAATCACATCATAACTTTAATTCATCTCAAACAATTGGTTTTCTGTCAAACCAAACCCATCTAAGATGTATAAACAAAATTACATACCATCAGTTATAAATAAGTAGTAAAGTAAAGCCTTAATACTTTGCCAAATGTTGAGTACAATATGATCACTTGTCACTGGTAGACTATCTCACCCTGTCCAATGAATTGCCCGATCTCCCATTTCACTCAGTTTTATTCCCTTCTGGGTACAATTTTAATTCACTCCCCTCCCATTATTGGTTTTCAGACAGAATGTAAAACATGGCATAGAAAGATAATTGTAGGTTAGTCTAAGATAAAAACAAGCAACTTGCTCGGTTTGAGCCACAACTACCACAGTCCCTTGATATACACCTTATTATCTAGGACCAGTGAGAGTCTGTCTCTACTCTTAAGTTCTAAATCTTCAAGTCTACATACATACAGGAGATATCATCAAATGAAAAATAGAATCTATTGTTTTCTATTAGTGAATGGAATCTGAATTATCTCAATTTCCCCAGGCTTATTAAAATAGGGTTTTGGAACCGGAAAGATCTGCCTTACCATTGATTGGAATATTTGATTGAATTTACAATATATCTTGGGTTCCTTCTGACATAATCATTCAGTTACTTTTAGCAGGCTCAGGAAAACAAAAAGAGCCAGTTTGGTTAAGATTGGTTAAGGCATCAGGCTAGAAACTAGAAAACCATGAGTACTATGCCTGCCTTGGGCCAATCATTTTATTTTGGCCCTAAGAAGGAAGCAATGACAAACCACTTCTGAAAAAGCTTGTCAAGAAAACTGCAGAGATCTGCAAAGACAAGAAAAAAATACTTTCTTGAAGCAAAGGTAGCAACAAAATGGAAAATTTGGAAATATTCTTGTTTTTTTTTTTCAGGTGTGACAACTGTGCTAACAATGACCACCTTAAGCATAAGCGCACGGAATTCTCTTCCCAAGGTAGCTTATGCTACAGCTATGGATTGGTTCATAGCTGTGTGCTATGCATTTGTCTTCTCGGCTCTGATCGAATTTGCCACAGTGAACTACTTTACAAAGAGAGGTTATGCATGGGATGGCAAGAGTGTAGTTCCAGAAAAGGTAATAAGGCAGTTCTTCGTATATTTTACTTGTATTTGAAATGGTTGCTTGTTGCTATTACTTCATATGCTATGGACCACATGTAGAGAGTAAAGAAGATGACCTTGACAGAAATATGAAAAAAAAAACAAAACACCTGTTGCTTGGGCAAAAGAAAGCAAAATATTTTCTAAATCCAGGATGCTCCAATAACATTCAGAAGCAGCTCAGGTACTTCCTAATTCCATGAACTATAAGAATGAAGCGGTGCAGCATAATCAGATTTTCAAAATGCTGTTACTATAGCAATCTCAATAAAAATAGTTTTAATCTTCCTATGGAGTATATCTCATGGTCTGATGTACCTAGTGGGTTTCACAAGCACAAACCTGCTAAACAAACTATTATGCAATGCTACATGATTATATTAATAGTAACCTACTGAAAAAAAAGTCTTCAGATTTGCAATCTGTTGTATACAAGTTCATTTAAAAGTAAATCTGTTGAGGTTTCAAACTATTGGCTTAGATATTTGTCTGTACTGAATTACTTTCAATTGTATTGTCACAAACACAAGGGAAGCAATATCAATGACTTTCAAAATAATCCAAATTATAAAATTTCCCTTTAGATAGTAAGAAGTAAGGAATTTATTAATGCATTTTTTCATTAAATAATTTAAATCATATTTGAATCTATATAGAAATTTCATTGGTTTTGGCTGTTTTCCAGATCGCTGTTAAGGACAAAATCACACATGCATGCTATTTACTCAGAGATTAGCAGGCAACTACTGATATATGTGAAACAGCTATCACTCATTACAATCCTCAAAAAGAATTTTCATACCACCCACTTATTGCCATCTAAAAATAAAACTTTTCAATAGAGAAAATTGGGACATTCGACAGCAAGTTGTTGAATGATGATTCATCATGCCATAGGACATGAAGTGATGTATATGCATGTGTGATTCAGACTCTTGAGTCTGAAAAAAAAGGAATTGCAGAGAGGAATTCTGAGAGCAAGGGCAAGAAATGAAATAAGCGATCCCTGACTATTTCACACACAGCAGTGCCTGAATCTGACAATGCTTGACAGAACCTAGAGAATAGGAGGTCTGACCTCCCTACCACATCCTCCTCAGAAGAAGGCTTTGGAAGTGAGACTATTCTTTGCCTTCTAAAATGATCCCAACACAAGTGTGATGGCATCTGTCAATCATTCATGGTAGGCCAAGTCAAGAAATAGGCACAAGCAGGGACTGAAGGAAAGATCTTCATTGTGGCAAGATAGAATGACAGAATCTTTAAAGCCTATCCAAATTTCTTTGTCCTTTCTGACACTAAACAAAATCAAGGTAGGATCATTTGGGTTTTCTTCCTTATACTCTCCTCTTTCTCAGGATGGAATAATCTATTCTTAGTCTCTCTACACCCTCCTCCATGGAGTGCTCATTCCTTCTCAATGTTTACTCTACATTCCTTCACAGAGTTTGTCAGCACAGCTTATGACAATGAAAATGTCTCTTTCATGATGATAGCACCAGTGACAAGCACTGGTTTCTCAATAGAAAATATGGAATATTCCTGATTCTGTTTTCTCCTTGTCTATTTGCCAACGTGGAAAAGGGGGGGGAAACCTCTGATTAAACATGGCTATCTGAAGGACATCTGAGCAGTAATATTTTTTTTGTTTTAATAAATTTTTTATTGATTTTTGTAATCAAACAGCAAATACCAATATGATGCATTTACATACACAAGCAGAAAAAAGATAATCCAAGTCAATACATTTTCTGAAACGCTCGGCAGTCCCCGCCTTGCCTCCACCCTCATTCACTTTCCTATCCTTCCTTCCTCTAAACCCACAACCTCTCCTCCTTCCTCCTTTCCACCTACCTACATCCCATCTCCCTTCTTAACCACCTCATCGAGTGCAGTTTGGGGTACCAGCCGAGCATCTCCTCTTTTCAATACAATTATTGTTTACCTATAACATATAAATACATCAATTTTTATAATTTCTGTCCCCTAATCCCCTTCCCCCCCTGGACTNAGGATTAAAGCACATCCCATTCCATATCTAAATTACAATTTAACTAAACAAACATAATACAATCAATATTTACATACTTTAACTCTAATAAAACAATAAGTAAAAACAATATATCTACTCAAAAACTATATGATATTTATTCATTCCATACTTTATCTGAATATAATCTATCCACCTTCAACATTTAAGCTGTACAAGACAATTTTTAAAGATCTAAATATCTAAGCAGTAATATTTTTAAATGGGTGAAATGACATGTCGTTTAAAATCTGTGTTCTTTATTCCTAGCCAAAGAAAGTGAAGGATCCTCTCATTATGAAAAACAACTCCTTTACAGCACCAGTAACAGCAACCAGCTTTACCCCAAATATTGCAAGAGACCCTGGACTAGCTACCATTGCTAAAAGCGCAACGATAGAGCCCAAAGATGTGAAAGCTGAAACAAAGCCACCTGAACCCAAGAAAACCTTTAACAGTGTCAGCAAAATTGATCGACTATCAAGAATAGCGTTTCCACTGCTCTTTGGGATTTTTAATTTAGTGTACTGGGCTACTTACTTAAATAGGGAGCCCCAGCTTAAGGACCAAAACCCTCCATACTAGCCCCATCATCCATTAGAGTTGTCCATCTGTTTTGCACTGGGAATTGCTTTTTGGTTCTAAACACACAGCAGTTCTCATTTGCTTCATTGCCTCTGTCTTAAAGAAATTGAGATGTCCTTATTTTAGAAAGCAAAAGTATATTATATATATACATATATATAATAGAAAAGATATTAACTCTGTATTCTAGGGCTGTAATGATGTGATGTAGACACCAGATTCTGAACCGTGACTTTGAACAAGGGAGGGAAATGTAAAAGAAATCCAAAATCATTTGTCGATAGCCTACCGCTGGAAGTTCCCAGAAGGGATGTTGTACATGTCAGAGCAGAAATATTTTTATGCAAAATGATAAAAGGTAAAACTGTCTTTATATATGTTCATGTTGCACATAAGGTATTCTAGTTTCCATTTTTGGAGTGCTGCTTATTTGAATTCTTTTATAGGATATGCATCTATCCAAAGTGCTGGATTCCAGAAAATATAGTATTTTTCTTAGATTTCCTATTTGCTGAATTTCCCAAAACATCAATTTTAAAGTAAATTAATGTTCATATTTACATACAAAACAGTCTATTTCCTAATGGTAGATATTCTCACAGAATAGCACATTGATTCATATAATGAATGCTTTAATATGCTCTCTCACTTCAGTCTTATTTTAAACATCAAATGGTCACTTGACTTAATAATATCAACCAATGGCACATTCAGTGCAGATCTAAATCTCTTTGTTTCTGTTAGATAAAAACAATACAGGGTCATTTCTTCTTTTTGTGCTTCTGTATTTGAATTTAAGACTTTTGTTGGTTGGTTGGTTGGTTGGTTGGTTGGTTGGTTGGTTGGTTGGTTGCTTTAGAAGGAAAACAATATTTAACAATCTCTAAGTACATTGGATGTATTATTTTATAAAATTATCCAGGGACTTTGGGGGCCATATCTTCAAGTCAACAAGTAGAGAGATTGCACCAGAAAATTTTAGGTTGCAACATGTGGCAAAAAGAAAGACAAAATGTATTATTTCAACAACATGTGTAAATATACTACATGAGACTGTACATTTTTTTTACTTTTTTATGTTCATATTATGCTGTGTGGGGGTTAGTTCTCCAGACTCTTAATAGGTTGCATTTTTAAAAGAAACATTTAGAACCTGCACTTCTTTTTTTTAAGAAAAGTCAGTGGCATTTGAAAGAAAAGGGACAAAAAGACAAGGAAGAGAGCTTGGAATAGGATATATTCCATTTGTAAAGCGATTATCTGTACAATAGCTTGCAATCTGAAACTATCATCTAGTTATACTATTAGGCTAATGACTGGTATGCTCAGGTAATGCGTGAATACAAAAATATGGAATTATATTTGGTAGGAAAATGGTAAAATATTTAAGATAAATGTCATCTGTATATTATTGCTATATTTGCTGAAACATAACTGTTAACAATAAGTGATGTAATATATGTAGCATTAAATACAGAAAAAACATACACAAACGAATGTACAGGAAAATACATTTTACTGAGTAAAACTTATTACATTTCATTTTTACTGTAGCAATATATTTGTAGGAACAATATGTAAGGGCTTTAAATACAAAATGTCCATTTTTCAAGTTATTGGTATTCCCAAGATAATTCTACCTAGTTTTATTTCTGCTGAAAAATTATTTTAAAGAGGGGGGGGGATCAAATTACCAAGATGGATATTTAAAAAAAATAGAGTTGAAGCATGGATTTGGGGAGGTATTAATGTAAGGGTTCAGAATTCATAACACATGGTAGTGAATGCATATTAAAAACAAAGTTGTATGGACCTTCAGTCAAAATAGCTAACACAATAGTGAGATCGACATCTATACATGTTACAGGCAATGTTTTATATACTCTTTCTCAATAAATCAAAAGGTTGCTGCACAGTTAGTATGTACAAATGAAATAGTTTACTTTTTCTTTCGAAAAGGTGACTTTAAAAAACAACAACACCCTAATGCTTCATTGTCTACCATTTAGTCCTGTCTAAACTTGATGAGCTAATCTGACTGAAGCTTACTAAAGAGGATGTGTTATCTTCTGGTATTATGTGTAGATATATGTATAGAAAAACAATCAAAATAAAATATGAATTTCACTTCAGTATTTGTTTATCTTGTTATTTTGGCGTTTAATCTAGTGTGTTCATAAAGGGCATTTGACCTTCAGAGTTATCCATTTGGCTCCTTTCAGCCTGCATTTGGCACATTAGAGTTGAATATTACTTAAGTAGTCTGCTTTTTTATTTTGCTATGTGATGATGCATTATTTCACCTCTTAGTTTGTTAGTCTCTGTGAACAGTATCCTGTATAAATCTGATTGCACAGTTATCAAAGACAAGGTACTCTCTATGTAGCTTTTTTACAATGCTTTGCTAAACCATGTAATAATAGTAAGTCTTCCTTGAAAATAATGATACACTCTTATAGAGGTCAGTTTTTGTTTACTCCTGGAATAATTTAAAACAAGATGACATTGAATGTTTATTGCACTTCAGTGCAGCAATGTGGCAATAAGACCTAAATCTATAACAGAGATTGTTTATGGCAGATGCATGTAATGCTTTACAGAGTTTAGCAAAATCTCATTATTTTATGTTGAACTGTAATTCTATTATACTAATAAAGTTTAAAACAAAAACTACGAGTAACACAAGTGAATGTTTTACTTGGCTTATTTTTGTTTATAAATGACCATTGCTGGCCAATGTCCCTTTTGCTATGTTACATACAAAAGGTTGAATGGTTTAGAATATATGTCAGAGAAAATTTGACAAGAAATGTGAGAAAAAAAAAAACCCAGCTCCTGCTGTTTGTACATATTGTTTGAAGCATTATTCTATTTTTTTTGTACAACGTAGTCTTTGTTTGATGTGTTTCCTTTGATTTATGACCCATGCTTTATGGCTTGAGATGGACCATTAAATGCATAGTAAACCCAAGAAGAGAACAGCCCAAATGAAAGCATAAAGCACTGGTGAGTGTTTCTTCAGATGCTTTGATTCCAGCCTTTCAAATCCAATCCAATAACAGTGAATGACGTGAAGACATTTTCTTATCTACTACATAACATTCTCATAAGGTCTAATAAAAATAAAAGCAGAAGCAGAAATGGAAAGCTTATCATAAATATAGTTATCAATCGCCTTATATTTCATCTTTTTCTCTCACATAGAACTCTTCCACAATAGTAACTGGGAATGTACTTTTTCTGGTCCTTTTTATCAAATTATATCTGGTTAATCCAAAAACCTGCACTAAACTACGAACCTACATAGCTACAAGGCGGCCATCTGTGTATCTGTCTAGATGAAATGCAAACCACAATGAAATAAGCTACAACTTTGATCCAGTCATAAAGTAGATAACTGATATATTATCATTTTTACACTTTAAAGATGTTGTTTTAAAAGAACACTTCCAAGGTCCATCTAAGTCAGGGGTGTCAAACTCACAATATCACATGATGTGTTGCAACGTATCATGACTTTTTTTCCATTGCAGGTATTGGGGGGTGAGCATGGTTTCGGCCCGTGGGCTGGCAGTTTGACACCCCTGATCTAAGTGATACTAATTTGATTCCTGTTTTTTTCTTTTTTTTAAATATATAAATGTTACTAAAAGTTTTAAAGAGAACATAAAAACTAACACAAACTAATGCAGAATAAACAGAAAAGAGAAAGAAAAGGAAAAAACCAAACATGAAAAGATAAAAGATAAAAGCTTTGGATTTTATTTGCAGTAAATGCAGATATAATTACAAGTTAATTATATATTCACAAAAAAGCTCAGTTTCTTCTATTATTCAATTTTTTGATCATCAAAACCTTAAGTCATAAATGCTGTTTCATGCAAAAAAAAAGTCTGTAAGGGGTTTCCAGTCAATCATATACATATATTTTATCTTTTCCCCCCTAATCAAATAAATCAGTTTAGCCATTTCTGTAAATTCCATCTAATCATTCCTCTATTGTTGAACTTTTCCACTTTTGAACATATATGTCCATAGTTGTCATATAAAAAACCAAATTTCCATTGCTTTTTTTCTAGCTGTTCTTTAATCCCAAAATGAAAGTCTCTGGTTTCAATTGTACCTTAGTTGTTAATATCTTCTCAACTAGTCTATTTATTTGTATATAGATTTTTTTCGGCTTTTTTACAGATCCACACTACATCATAAAATGTATCTTGCCTCTTTTTATTCATTTTCAAATAAGCCATCTTGACATTTATAGAAAAAAAGTCACCCCCATTTTTCCGACAACATGCCTTTATTTCCCTTCTTTTCAGGGGTACAGCCATCATTGCTTCTTCCCTAATGCCGATTGATTTTAAAATAATCCTCAAAACTGCTTATAAACCTAAAATATGACTGTGGAAGGCTACATTTTTGTCACTGACAAATATCAAATTAATGCAATAAAAGAGAATGGTATAAGCGTTCTTAAGATTTCCTGTGGAGATTAGAAATATTACCCTAGGATTGTCTTGGCACATTCATTTGCAAATGAGAATTCTTCCATTCAAATGAAATGGTCAAATAAAAGCTTCTAA